CCAAAGACTCCTTTGGAGCTGCACTGCCCATGCTGTCCCCAGCATAAGTCAGATGTCTTACTGTCTGGCTCACACTGCGTGCAGAAGGCACTTTGTTATTCTGAGCCCAGTGACATCTCTCAGAGTATGACTTCATTGTGGCATCTGTTGCCCCACAGCAATGAATGCTCCAGTTTCTAGGCATCCATCACATTTATGTCTACAAATGCATTTAACTGATTGAAAGAAGGTGATACCGTTTGGTTTTAACTATTAATTTGAAGCTGAAGCTCTGCTGCTTGTTAACAACTGAATGGCAAGGATTCATTTCCCAATATGAAGCAATTGCCTGCCTTTGCAGAAGAAAATAAGAAAAGGTTGTGGCACTGATATTTCACATTTAAAATTAAAATGAATCCTAGTTCATGATATTGCAGATGGTTGATTTTTCATAGTCTGTTTGCATTGATTATTATTTCAGTCATGAAACAAAGTGTTGAGTACTTCAATTATTCTCTTTGTCAAAACAAATCAGTAACATTTGCATTCACAAGAGAGAATATAGGTGATGACTGTTTCCTCTGCAACAGCGATTGTTATTTTCATAGTATTTAGAAGTTAAAGTATTTCAAAGTATTTACAGGTCTGTGGAGCTGACACTTGCTGTTAAATTCTTTAAGTACTTTTTCAAGCCCCATTGTAATCATAGTAAATTTGCTAACTTTCTTGAAGATTTGTGCAGATTTTTTAAATATGTGTATTTAACTTGGGAGAGCATTATTTGCACCAAATGCCATTTTTTCTAGTATTTTTGACAGTAGTCCTTTTCCCTTAGTTGTATAAAATCTAGATTAAACCTAGTGGAAATCATACTGCAGTATTTGTCATTGGACACTTAAGGCCAGAAGTCTTGAAGGCCTGTTAAAACTACACAGATCTTAGATCTGCTTTCCTCCATTTAAAATTTGGTGCTGTGCTCAAATCTGTTGCACACATAGGATATGCAGTGATATCCTGAGCTTTACTGTTCATTCCAAAATAACAATATACTGGGTCACTGTTGTTGGGTCAATAATCTTGAGGAGATGAGAGAGCCTGACAAGTCTCTGAGGCACCTTCTGAGGAATACCAAGTTCATTGGCAGCATTTATTTTTGCTGATCTCAGTCTTTACCTCAAAAGGATCCTACAACTTTATAGAATAATTGCCATGATGCTGCTGTAGTAATGCTGCCGAGTCTGGTCATTTGGGGGATTATTTAGAATAGTATTTTGTTTTTAACAAGAGATGATCATGTAGACAAGTGCAGATCAGTTTTCTGCTCTTTTTTTTTTTCCTTCAGGATTTTTTTTTTCTTCCCTGTGTCTGCTTTCTTTGGTCCTGGTGCAGTGGAAGCTCCTCGAGTCTGTTGAACTCCATTGATACTCACTGAATCCGTAACCAGTTTGTATCGATTCTACATTTTGCCCAGTGAACTTTTATTAGACCTCACAACTCTTCTCTCCATCAGGACTGAAAGTGTGGACAGGAACAAAGAATTAAAGACTTAAAACACCCCCTTCCTGTGGCAAATCTGGAGTTTTTGCTTTCACAGATGAGGCCTCTGGAATTTGGATAGTCTAACAACATCTGAAGACTGATACTTGAAATCAGTGCTTTGCCAATGAGCCAGAAGCTAGCCAGAGAAAAATGAGCTGTGCCTCTGTTCTGGCCTGGAAGCCGGAAGTTATTTTGCTGTCTTTGACCTTGAGAAAGCTACTGAGCTTCTCTACCTCTATTTTCCTCTCTGCAGGAGTGGTTGCATGTTACTGCCTCATCTAGATCTAGTGCATATTAATAAGTTGATGTCTTAAGGTACATTAAAAGCGTGTAATAGCTATTCAAGTTCCATTTGTTCTTATGACTTAAAATGGTAGTTACTTCCTGGATTTTTTATTCAGTTTTATTATAGACGTTATAGAACATTAAGTTCATTTGCACACTTAACACTTTTGATTGCAAACATTTCCTGGTACTCATAACATCTATTCATAACCTATTCTCAGAAGGGCAATCTGTCCCTTGCATAGTATGACTATTATGACATGTCATTTGTGCTGCCAGTTTGCCTCTATTTTCCTTGATAAATTACCAGCTTTATGATAGGTTAAGTTGAAACAGAGAAGAGTGTAATTTCCACATAACCTTTTTTCTGCAACCTCTGTTGCCAGTTTGTGCCCTACTGGAAACGACTTTCCCCTTCAGCCCAAAGGGTATGTGTCAAGTGTAAGTAAAACTCTAAATTGGGGCATCATTTTTTACATTGTAAGAGTTGGTGAAAATCTGATAAGCCCTGCCACCAAAGTCCACAGAAGGTTTCATCCTCCTGACTGACATGAATTTGGGAAGAAGGACCATTGCCCACAAGTGGCACATCACAACCAGCAACATAAGAAGCTTTAGAAATCCCTCTTGTGCCACTGGAATGTATCTTTAATTTTGACTTAGGGAGGAAGCTTCTTGATCCGAATAGCCTTATTTTCTGCCTTGCCCATGTGGTTCTCAGTCTGGTAAGACGACAATTAATTTCAATTACTGTGTGGGCTCTTGTACACTAGCAGCTGAATCAAGGCCTCGGTTTGTTCAACGTATGTACTGAAAAGCTATTAAGTGGCAGTATCTCACTCCAGGCTAGAATTGCATCTGTGGCACAGCAGTGAAAAATCACTGTGTCCAAAAAGACAGTATGTGAGACCAGTTCCTCTGGGACACCCAGTTCAGCTTCAGACTGTAGATTTATGAAATGAAATGCATTAGACATGCCTGCCAGTGTCTTGTAAGTCTTATAAAACGTATTTGAGTCAGAAAACATTTATCTTCCATAAAACCTGTCAAGAGAATTGCTTTTTGTCTAAACTTTAGCATTGCCTAAGGATAGAAACACTTAGTATTTATAGCTCTGCCTTCTCTCTGTCTCTCACGTGTATGCCTGTCTTGTAAAAATGTATATACAATGGTTTGAAGTTTTTTCAGACTTTTGTTTTAACTGATAAGTACAGAAGAATGTACTGGGGATCTGAGAACGTGCTGATAAAAATGTAACTCTTTATTCCAAAATCAAAGAGCCTGGGATGACAGATGAGAAGTGTGCGGGTTTTTTCCCCCTAGATTTTACAGGAGGCATTTCACTTTTTCAATTTTGTCTATACCATGAGTCACTCATATTCTTAAATTTGGATTTTTTCTTAAAACATTTTCTGACTAGAAACATTATAAGCTATAGCAGTGTAACTCTTTTGCTGTTTTGATCACATAAAGATGACACAACGGTATTTGCAAGTGCCGGTACTAGTCAGCTATGAATTATTCAAATCTATGTCTTAAGATGAGTTTATCTTCTTAAAACAAGTACTTGCTTAACTGTAGCTTTGTTCTCTAATTTCATTGCAAAGCATGAAGCTGATTTAAAATCGACTGTTTAAAACAATAGTGTGCTTTTTGGTAAATAATGCTAAAAATTCTGTGGTGTAGACCACCTGACCATGTGGGGGTTTTGCTAATGACCCAGAGGAATTTATACACAATGGAAATATCCAGTGACCTTGATTCATCTTTCTTAAGTATACTGCAGTACTGCATGTATTTCATAAGTGCTTTGCTCAGACAGCTGACTTAGTCAAAATGCTGTGGAAAAGGCTGATTTTAATCAAGAAGAACACAAAACACCAGGGAAAATGAGGGGCTTAAAATAGAAAGTAGTATGATCAAGAAAGTGGATGATTCAGAAAAATTACAATGAGATGAGAAGCTGCCTATTTCTAGATCACTAGTTCAAATAAATATCCTCTGTGGTAATTTGTAAATCTTGTTGCCATCCAATACCTGCTTGGTAACTTGTTCTGGGAAACCACTTTGATATCTGCTACCCTACGTGCATGCCCATGGAGATGAATCTGCAGCCTACATACGTCCTTCACGGAACAGGGAAGCACCAAATGGTCCTGGATACTGAACTACTTTTTGCTCCTTTCATTTCTGCTTCCAGAAGGGACTTAGTGAAGTTGTACTTACTCTGTGTGTATGTATTGTTCTAAAATTAACTGAATAATCCAGTGGTTATGTTCACCATTGGAAGTTCTTTCTTTCTTTTTTTTTTTTAAGGAACATTAGCAGAATTTCACAGTATTTTAGTTTCTCTCAGAAATTTAATTCCAGGCTTTTGGGTTTTCTACCTTTGGTCTTAAAAAGAGTTACACAAAAAATAAGTTACAGAGAAAACCAATTAAAAAATTAAATTCATAAAATTAAAATTATCAAAGCATATCAATAAATTAAAAGTTAGTTGAAATTTCCTAAAGAGTGTAGTGCATTTGTGTGTCACTAGGAGAATTCAGCTGATAAATTTTAAAACAACTTCTTGGATAAAGTCTAATACAAAAATTCACAAGCCAGTTCTTCGTGAATCTCTCGTACTCTGTGGTACAAAACATGGAATATCACTAAGAAAATGGAGTTCCCCTCTTCAAAGCATCCAGTAAAGCTGTGCATCACATTGTTGGTTAGTCTGTGATAGTGAATATTGCAAGTAACAAAATTATTTCTTCGAAGCCGAAGATGGTAATAACAGCGCGGTATGGTTTGCTGACAGGATCTGAAGCCTATTCTTCTTCTCAATCCCTAAGCATGTTGTCGGCTAGCATTATGTACCCAGAAGTGTATACCCATTCTGAGTAGCTGGTGCAATTCTCCCTAAGCCTTGAGACTGTATTTGCCACAGATCTTTAGTTCCCGGTCCTGTCTGCCAGTACTTCTGCCTGTGTGTTGCCCTACCTCTCCCTAACAAGTGTTGTACCTTAAATCTAATGTGTACTCAGTTTAAACCCATTAGATGTCTTGCTGGTCATGAAGATCTTTTTGTCCTCATTTTTTCTCAAAAAGGGATGAAAGACCACTACTTTCCTAAACACAGTGAGAGAAGCAACTCAGTCTTCCATTGAGCTGTTTCTTTTAGTTTATTTATTTGTTTTTCCTTCCCAACAGCTCTGGTTTACACACAGGTGACAGTGTTACAAAAACAGGACCTGGGGGCCTTCCAGACATGAGACAAGTGCCAACTGTTGTGATCGAATGCGATGACAATAAAGAAAATGTGCCTCATGAAACCGACTATGAAGATTCTTCCTGCCTCTACACAAGACAGGAAGAAGAGGAAGAGGAAGATGAAGATGAGGATAACTCATTATTTACAAGTAAGACTTATTCCATTTTTCCTTTCTCATTTATTTAATTTTTACTATGAGCTGTCAATACATAAGGGGAAACACAAGGCCCATAAATTTTCTTTCTTGACCATCGCTGTTGCATCCCTCAGGGCTTGACTACGTGGGGATGCTTGCTAAATTAATATGAAATAACAAATAGTATGAATTTATAGTGATTTTCCTAATCCACATGAATCCCTGTATGGGTAGCTCTCAGAATTCAAATTATTGGTTTTGGCTTATATGAGTTCTCTTCCAAATTGACTTTTGGATTCACTTCCCCAAGTGACCGTGGTATAGAGAAGTCCTGCCTCTGGCTTAAGTCAAGATCAGCTCAATAGACTTACTTCAGGAGGAGGAAGTGTCACTGATAGAGAATCAGAGCTTTTACGTATAGTAAGTATTAAATCATGTCAAAATTGTAAGTCTGCACATACTTTGAAAGGGGTCAGGATCAGAGAATTGGGCTTAGATAAGAAGAGGAGATTAATTGATAGCCGTATCGCAGTTGTAGTCTGGAAAGTGACCTGTGGTCCCTTCCTGACCTCTCTGAGAAAACCGATCTCCTGCCTCAGTGTGTCATCATAGGACTCTTCCACGAAGACAAGATACAGTATTTTGCCTATGGCAACTGCTTGTCATCCTGCAGGTTGAGGCTGGACTTTCAGGCCCTTGGATGTCTTTTCTTCCGAAAACTGGGAGCGGTGCAATGAAACAACACCCTTTTTAAAATACATGCAAAGAAGATTCTAAACCAGGCATATTTCATCTCCTCAGAAGCCTCCCTTACCCTGCAAGTGAAATTAAGCAGTCTTTGCCCTTAAACTAAGAAACAGAGCAGAACTGCACTGTCTCGCACTCTCCTGCCAAAGCCCAAAACCTCTCATGGGTTTGTGTCTCTCTGTCTTCTTGTGTCTGTCTTCCCTGCTCAAACTGCTCTGGATGCAAGGCTAGGAAAGCAAGTTTGAGCTGTGAAAGGCCACAGGTTTTCACAGTGTCTTTGCCACTTTCACTGCCTGAGCAGCAGTGTGTGTTAGTGTACAAAGAAATCTGTGCTGCTTCTGATTGACTCTCGATTCCTTCTAGTGTTAGCTTGGATGCCTTGATATTACATTACAAGAGAGATAGCTCTTTACACATGCTGTTGTTCTGCTGCCTGCCCAGATTCTGAGGCTGAATTAATTTGTTCCATTACGTGGTTCAGAAATGCTATATTAGAGAAGGCTACAGATGCTGCTAGCAATTCTGAAACAAGCCCTTCTTCTCCACTCCCCTCTATGGAGCAATATTTTAATTTCTTTTTCCTGTATACCTACCAAATTCAGCTTTTCCTTATTATGATATGAATTGAGGTTAATTGAGCATGTCAAGTTAATTGACACCTCTTTTCCCACAGTCCATAACAATGTAAATGAGAGCCTAGTATCCTCCCTTGGCTACTACTACTTTGCCTGCTGCATGCTGTAATGAAATTATGGCACCTCCTTTGGCAGAGCCTCTCCTATCTCCCACAGGCTCCTTGGCAATGAAAGTCTGCAGGAAGGACTCTTTAGCAATCAAACTAAGCAACAGGCCTTCCAAGCGAGAGCTGGAGGAAAAGAACATCCTCCCCATGCAGACTGATGAAGAGAGGCTTGAACTTAGGCAGCAGATTGGGACAAAGTTAACAAGGTAGGAGACAAACATTTTTCTAACTCTTGCTTTTGGAAATATGTGGTGGGATACAGTTATTATCCTTAGTCTGTAAGTATTTGAGATCTGTTTGTTCACAGTTTTCAAGAGGAGAAGCCATGGGGGGCGGGGAGGACTCTAGACGTTATTTCTGCTCCAATATAACTTCCAATACAACACCCCATAGGAATATCCTATGGGATCTTTGGCTGTGCTAAGTATCAGCATGAACTATGTGGATTTGGTTGTTTTCGGTGCACCATTAGGAAATGTTCAGCTTTGATAACATTTTGGATGTAGCTGCAGATCCCATTTGATAGGCTATTAGTTTGGCCAAAGGGCAGACATATAACTTTCTCTTCTGACTCTCTCTCTTGTGAGTATCTGAGTCTTTTCCTGATACAAAATACTTACAACCTTCAGTACCTGCTTTTGTTGGGACATATTTACGCTGTCTAGACTCCCTTCTTCACAACAGTGTCACTCACAAACTGTTCTGGTTTTCTGTATTCCATGGGGTATAGAGAGGTGGCCATTAAATGTGGAAGGTTTCTGTCAAGAATTAGTAAACTGAGGTCAGGTAGAAATGTCTAAGAACCTCCTACGCTCCAGCTATGATTTCTGTAATCAATTTAATATTGTTGTGTTATCCAGTTGTGGTAGGCAGCGCTGGTGAATGCTTTTAGTTGTCCTTCAGTGAGACTCTGAGAAAACCACAAGGAGAAGACCAGCCAGTTGTTGGGAATTTTCTTGTGGGTTTTCTTTTTTTTTTGTAGGTTTTCTTTTTGGTGGAGGGAGATAAGGGGGGAACACCACTACCATGTTGTGGAGACAGAAAGAACAGGAGCTCCTGGTAAATAGCTCTTTCAGCATTTTATCTACTTTTTTTTTTTTTTTTCCGTGGCCTCGTTTATCACCTCTTTGGAATAAACTAACTACGTCTTTCCAGTCTGTCTTTGGAAGTATTTGTGCTGGATCATGCTTCGCCTACTCCAAGACCTGTCTAATTCTTCAGTATCCTTGTTGAAGGGCCTCAGCAGTGACGCCCAAAGTATGCAAGATGGCGCTGCACTGTTGCGGGTAGTGTGGTTTTTCAGTCCAGTCTTTATTCAGCCTAATACCTTGTTAGACTGTAGCTGCACGTGGAGCTCCAGGTCCCAAAGAGCAGCACGTGACAGCAAGGTCCCAGTGCCTATATGATTGATTTTTAACCCTTTTGAAGCGTGTGAAGAGTTGAAATTTTTGTCTCTTACCACCATATCTTACTGGGCAGCGATTGACCTTGCAGTGACATTGGACAGCATTTCTACTGTGTTGCCAATTTGCCTAAATTACTTTAGGTCTCTCAGAAGTTTTACAGCTCACTCTGATGAAGGTAAATAGCGTCATTTGCAAATTGACTCAATTGACTCTGCACAGCTCACTGTGCCCCAGGTGGTTTTTATTATAAGTATTTTGTATCTCACCTCTCCAAAACCTGCTTTTTCCCCATTAAAGAATGTTTCTTCAGCATATCTCTTTTTAACAAGGAAAACTAATTTTGGCAACACCCAGAACCCTTCCTTTGTAAGCCCCATATTCTCACGATATCGTTGTTTCCTCAGTTGCATCTCTGCTCATTCAGTCTGGGTATAATGCTTGATCTTGTCTTCTAATATATCTAGGACTTAGGGGCAATCACAAATAGTTCAAATAATCAAAACTGTGTATATATGGGCTCAAATAATAGCTGAGCCACTGCTGTTCCATTGCAGTTTTATACCAGTGTAACACCACTGAAATGGGTAGAATTTCACAAGCCTTATCTGGAATAATATAGTTGCCAGTCTGACCTTTTAATTACTAGTATTTACAATACAATATCTAATCCTTTTGAGTAGTTAAACACTATCAAGAAATATAAGACTACAACTTTCCTCATCTCTAATATGCAAAAAGCCACAGACATTTCAGCAGCAAGAAGGAAGGTACCTGTCTTAGAGTAGTGCTTTGTATCTACATGTGATGTATCCATGTGCACAGACTGATGAATAGATTGAAATAGAGAGAATATTTCGATTTGGACAGTATTTCTTTATTGTCCAGACTTCATTACTAAATCCAACCCTTGCCACTGCTCCGTAATTGTCACACAGTGATGCAAGTGCCAAGCAAAATTAAAGTAGTGAAGCATTTATAGTCCTTAGAGAAGATGCTAGATGCAGACTGTAATTGCAGCTAGCAATTTTGGATTTCAGAGGGATTTGTACTGTTCCACCAATGGTCCCCTATGGTTTAAAATAGCGAGCCAATGAAATCACGTTTGCTACTTACAGAAGTAAAAAATGCAGAATAAAGACTTCAGCAAATAGTTATTGTTTGTAATGGATCGATTAATTTTCACGAAGAGGCTGATTAGGATTTATGCATAATCTTCACAGTGTTTAGTTTGGAAGAGCTCATTGGCTGCCACATTTGGCAGATCAGAATTTAGTACTATAAAGAAAACATCATTTTTAAAGATGCTTATAGCCAGGCATATTGAGAGATTGACCACTGACATATTGTGTGGGACCGCAATCATCCCAGGTGTAGTTCCTCCAGCCTTACTAGAGTTGCACCAGGAATCAATTTTACTCAGAACTGTTTGTTCAGATCCTGTTTAAATGTAGCTTGGAACCTCTGAACCTCCAGTTAGTCCCAGAAAGTTGTTATGACTTTATTGTTGCATCTGCCAACTGGTAGGGAGATTCCAGAGCGGACTTCACCATGTTGCCTGTTTCCCATGCTGGGAGAACAGTGCCTTGACTTGCACCAGACCAGTTGTAAGGGTGAGGCTGCAGAGACTGTATCTTATAGAAGGATCTGGCTCATTGCACACCTGAATTTCAGCTCAGCAGTGAGACAAATTAACACCTTTGTGCCTATCGTAGAAACACTTCACATCAGTGTACTGCTTCGCTACTGTATATCCTGTATCATGGCTCAGCACATGTAGGTGCAAACAAAAATGGAGCTTTTTGCCCAAGATGGCAAAATATGTCCCAGAAAAGGCTGGAGATCCCACATCACGTGAAATCCAGCCACATGAATAGGCCACTACACCATAGACTGGCACAGCAATTACAGCAACTAATTAGAAGACCACCTCCTGCTCTACCCAAGCCAGAACAGACTACTCCAAAATATGATTACCTATTAAGAAGCAAAGAGCAGAAATAGTGAATTAAGAACTTCCAGTTCATAAGCACATGTGATTTGAGGATAGGAAGTGGATGCTGGAGGCCATTTTCTTGGCTGCTAAAAACCCTTACAACTCCATCAACTTCTACTCTGAAATGCAGACCTTCTGCGCTAAGTAAATCTTTTAAGTGGGTATGGTTTTCTTTTTTGTTTCCTGTCTGCTCAGCTTCTCCCAAATTCCTCCTCCATTTTATCCCTCTGGTGCCCGCATAGCTTCACAGCTGCTCAAGAAGTGTGTGTAAGTGACTGTAAGACAGAAAGGAGAAAACAGGAGGAAAAATAGGATGCTGAAAGTTAACAGGCAGAGGGAAAAGACAGAGTTCTGCTTTCTGCCTGGCTCTCTGGCTGTGTTGGACCTGGTGGGAAGCACCGTTCCCCCACTTATTCAGGTTAGAGCGGGGGTCAGGAGGACCTGGGTTTAACTTTCAGTCGCTATCAGGGTGAGAGGAGTGGGGCGTATCTGGGCTCTGACTGTGAAACAAGGACTCAGACAGGCTCTGGATTGGAGCTTGGAGGTTCTTCCAGGGGCAGTGATAAAGGCAAGGCCCGTCAGGAGCCCCTGGTGAGGAGGAGGGCTAGCAGTGATGGGTGATGCACAGCAGAGCCACTTGTCTCCCAGAGACTGAGGGACTGTCCCCTGGTAACAAGACGGGTGCTTCAGTGCTGGTCCTTGCACTTCTGTTTCACCAAGTAATTATAATGGTGGTCGTAAGAGACCACACAGACTTCCTCAATCAACTTATTATTTAGCAAGCACAAGAGCCGTTTAGAGAAAATCTATCTGTATATTTCTGTATAGCTATACACTGCACCAGACTTTGCTGAGGACTTGGCGCTCTCTTGAACTGGGAAGACCTAGTTTCTTTCCTTGTCTTTCACAAAGTCTGTCCCATACCTTGAGACAACGTGCGTCTTTAGACTATGGCTGATCTGCCATGCATCCTACAAGAGAGGCTTTCTAAAGCACTAAGGTCTTTTTGAGTCTCTTAAGCCCATAACTCTAGTGAAGGTGCTCATTAGCAATTAGGTGCAGAAGTATTAAAGCTGAGATTTTGGTCCACTGCTTTTCAAGAATGCGTGGCACTGTCCTTATCTGTTTTCCTTGAATTGCTTCCATCTTGGCTTTTCCCACCTGTTGAAACAGGATGATGTAGTCATACAAAAATTTGGTAATCCAGTATTATTATCAGCACATTGCTAATAATCAATGTTAAGAGCACTTCTTGATATTCACAGTATTATTACTGGTCAGCATTGTGTCTGTCTCATCAGTGCACTCCTGCCCATCTCAGGGCAGAGGACAGGCTGGCTGCAGGTCGCAAGGCAGAGGAGATACATAAAGGCTGTCTACAGGCAAGCAGTGCATGTCAGGGGACTGCTACCCATCACTGGCAGGTGCCACAGGCAACCCAGTAAGATTTTGCAGCCCGATAAGACTTTGTTGCTGTGCTGCTGCCAAAAGCTGTCCGTTGTAGGAGTCACTTTTAATCCAAGACCATGCCCAGTGTGAAAGCAAAGTGAGGAGGTGGGAAGCAACCCTGTGCACATTAACTAACAAATTAAATAGAAAATAATTACATTAGAAACACATAAAGAAGAAAGTAACTTCCTGAAGTGTCTACACACTATCTTTTGCCTCTCTTCTGACTTAGAGTGATGGAAATCCCATTGCTCGACTGAATCCTGTCACTGTATGTGTTCTGCTGGCTTTAAAGCAGTGAATCAATGGCAAGCTCCTCAGTCAGATACACAGTAGTGCTCTACATCGTTTTTTGTAC